CGTGGTCGTGGTCGTGGTCGTGGTCGTGGTCGTCGTCGCCGTCTTCGTCGTCGTCGTGGTCGTGGTAGTGGTAGTGGAAGTGGTGGTGGTAGTGGTAGTGGTAGTGGTAGTGGTAGTGGTAGTGGCAGTAGGAGTAGGAGTAGGAGTAGGAGTAGGAGTAGGAGTAGGAGTAGGAGTAGGAGTAGGAGTAGGAGTAGGAAAGACATCATACGCATTCCATTTCCAGGCCGCTGTGTTTTCCGACGTCTCCATCGTGCGGAGAGGGGTGTCCTGTGCCAGAGATTCAACTTCGCAGGCCGCCCCGTTGCAGGATGCCAGGAGACAGTTACCACGACGACGACGACGACTGCTACTGCTAACTTCTTCTTCTATTGCTATTACTGCTGCTGCTGCTGCTGCTACTACTACTACTACTGCTACTACTACTACTACTACTACGGTTTAGGGAGGCTTTAGGGTTTAGGGTTTAACGACTGCTATTGCCATTCCTTCTGCTGCTACTTCTACTACCGCCACGCTCGAGCTACTAGCTACTGATTCTGTGCAAGATCATGGTGGCGTGCAAGGCGAGACAGTTGCGCAAGTACCAGCATTTCGATACAACACGCACGCACACGGAATGTCTATTGAATCGCTCTCATGAGCGACATTGAGGTTGTTGGACATGTTTTCTTTGGCTAGTTGTCGGTACAGAAGTCAGGTTCATGGCAATGGTAAAATTTTGTTTAACTTGTGTTTTCCTGTCCTGGCAGTCACTACTCATCCTGGTTCTCAGAGCACTAGGCCACCTTTAACTGCTAAGATCCATGACGAGTACGGAAAAACGATGAACGAACGCTTTTAGGGAAGACCTGCTTCGTTTGGTTGCGGAAATCGTCCTGCGACCCGTTCTGTCCCTTGGCAAATTGCTAGCTGCCGTGCACACGGAAGCTTGTAGCATTAGCAGTGTAGCTGCTGCTCTAGCAGTTACACGGCAGCATCAAGGCTCCAGTAACCAGAACCCTAAACCCTAAACATTGTGGTACCGCGATATGACAGAAGCTCACTCAGCCTCACGGTTCGGCAACGTCAGCGATGATTTAAGAAGACGGTTATGTTTGAACATGGTTTCTTGTAATTAAGTTCCTTTAAGCATGGGTCGAAGACAGTCACCTCTGATTGGTTTCGCTGCCTGCAAAACCAAGACTATGATGCGTATCTTCTTTGCCGTTTGCATTCCCCTACCTTATGAGGATTCCGTCCCGGGCAGGTTCTATGGAGCATCGCTTGTGTTGGTCAGGCCCGCAGGGTACATCGCGTGGAACGGGAAGTGATTTCTCAAGAAGTGCCGCAGTGTGCATCCCAGGACAAGCATGGAAAGGGGGGGGGGTGCACAAGTATTTTCCCATGTTGATTCTCTCATCGTCATTGCCATTTCTGTGACACCGCCGTCTCCGTGCACAGCTCCGGTCCAGCATTGACTAAATGAGCTCTTCGTTGGCGTCATTGCATCCGACACAAAGTGCATCTCATGGCTGTTACTAGTGGGCCTGCCTTCGAGCTGCTTTGGTCCCTCATTGCTCGGGTTCCCGCGCGAAATCAAGAATCGAGTATGCAAGTCTTTCTGTGCGGCAGATCATCCTTGTGGCTTGCAGCCTGGTGAACCCCTCTACGACACCTCCTGGGGAAGGCCAGATGTGCGTGCTTGTCCGTGTCTGTAGCTTCGCGGGTTGCCACAGCCTCAAGTTCAGCCATGTTAAGCCCATTTGTACCGGAAACGCTGAGCTCAGAAGCTGCAGTACGACCCTGCAAGACCCGGCATGCTTTCTGTGACTATTCTATCGTGTCATGTGTGTTATGTCACCTCGTGCCATGTTGTTGTGATACATACTAGTTGACGTGTGAGACCCTGAAGTGTCATGCTCTGCTTTGAGAATGTCAGCTGTGGCGATCACTTTAGGGCTGTCATTGTTCTGTTACAATCAGTGTTCTGTTAGGTTGTGGGTATGCTACGTTGTATGTACACATACATGTGCAAAACTGTATCATTCCTTGTATGCAGGTATATAGAATTTAGACATGCAGCCGTGCGCCAAGTTCGGTTGCCGGCTTTCGGAATTTCAGAATGCATCAAACATCTAGCCGGAGATGAAGCCATAAACGAAGCAACACACAAGAATGCCGTAACCAAAAATCAAGCCGGACATGCTTGAGACCAAAGCGGAAACTAGTCATAGTCTGGAAATGCAACAATTATGCATCAACCGATCAACACGGCAACACAGTCTGGAAAGGCAGAAGTATCGGTCCTTGAGCCAAAATTGAAGTCGGAAACAGCCAATGAGAACGCGGAAATCATGTCGGAAAGAAGCCATATGGGGAATGAAACTGGAAATGACAGAACTGCATCAAACATGCGGCCAAAACTGAAACCGAAATATGCGGCAGGAAGTCGCAAAACCAAAAACAAAACAGATTCAGCTGACGAAGGAAATGACGGAAATGCACCAATTCCGTGCAACCGATACCGGAAATGACGAAGACCGTAAGCTGACATGCAACAACGATGCAGCGAGCGAGACGAGACAGCAAATTAAGTCAGTTATGCAGCCAAAAACGAAGCCGCAAATAGCCGATGCAAGCATGGAAATGGACTCGGACATGGCGAATGACGGAGCGCACCCACTCGAACACGAAAATGATACAGGCGACGGAAACAATCAAATTGAACTCGATCTGAGTGGTGTGTGTGTGTGTGTTGCGGTTGATGGCAGTCGATGCGTGTGTGAACGGACGAACTCTTGCTTGCTATAGGATTGTTGCACGGTTCGGTATTTCGACCTGATATTGCAGTCGAAGTATGAACCGCTCCTCACAAGGTGTTTTGCTTCACCCACAGCACATCTGAAACTTGTCACTGTTCAAGTTACTCGAAATCTTGGGCATTGGGTCGAATACAGTCTTACTCGTATCGTTGACGGTTCTACACCTGCGACGGAAAACTTAGACCGACCTAGACTCTAGACTCTAGACCTCTGGCAATGTCCGACCCCGAACGATTGAAGGAACAAGTCCGACTGTTGCTGCCAATGGCAAGCCGCAGACTCCCAAGGCCCGACCCATCTTACTAAGAGAGCTCAGCCAGGATGTCGGGGTGTGAAACTCTTCCCTATCTTCCCTTCTCCCCGGCGACAAGGCCATTGCCGGTTGTCCTGAGGTTGTTTGGGGAATTTGAGTCTGTTTCGGCATTTCGGTAGTTAGGCCTTTGCTTTCTTAGTCGTGCCTTCTGGAGTTTGACACCCGAGTACAGTCGAGGAGTTGTGTTAAAGCTTATGGCTACGTCTCATGTGAAGTAGCAGGGTCTCGTGCTGCATGATGGTTCAACTCTTGCTAGATATGTCGAACTGTTGCAAGATCAGCCCTGAGGCCCTACACTGGATGCATGAGCCGATGGTCCAGCGGCTTCGTGAGGGTTCGGACTTAGGGTTTCGGAGCTTGGCAAGGTGCATCCGAATCCTCGACCGTTTGGCTATGGCGGCTGCGAGAAGCCCTTGCTGGATCCTGCCGCGGGGGCACGGCCAGCACGCTCCAGGCAGGCCTCATGTTCGCCGTCCCGGAACCCTTCCAACTCCATAGATGCTCTTGAGCTGAGGAGCGTGCTTTAGCTCAAAATCATTCGGCAAGCTGGCCTAGCTCCAAACTTGAGCACGGCTCAGTTGCGAAGGTCACCGCCCTGATGCTTATGCTGCTGTGCTACTGGAGCCGCAACCCCAGCAAAACGAAGTTTTGCGATATGCCCGAGGTCTTAGAAAGAGTCGAGTCCAGCACAGGATTCGGAACCTTTTCAGATTCCCCTGCACCAAAGTAGCCTTCTTGTAGAGCGCCAGTGTTCCTAGTACCAACGGCGAGCTTGAAAGTAGGCAGCGTCCGAACGCAGCGCACATCTGCAACCGATAAGTGGCCGGATTGCCGTTGCCGATAGGAATTACAGATGATTGCAGATGTACCTGTACATCCCAGGCATCCACGCGCCGGTTTTGACGGGATGGTTCAGGCGGACGAGACAGGCCGGAGACTAGTAGACAAAGGTCATCGGGCCATCGGACGGTATAATTTCAGCAACCGGGACGAGCGGAGAGGCTTGCATCATCCATGTTGCAAAGTTTCGATTTCGGGATCCGAATCAACCGCATAATGTTGCCCTGCAGTGAGGTGTACCGTCGGGGTTTAGGGTTTACACCGTTTCATGGTCCGCCTTTTGCGAGTAGATGCTGCTAGAGTCTGTTCATGTGTTTTGCCTTTGTGGTAATGTTGCGCGGTTTTGAGAAAAGCTGCATGATGCAGATGCTACCTTGGAGCAGTGGATCTGCACTCCGTCCCCCCCGCTTGTGGTCCAGTGAGCGAGTGCAAGAGCTTCCGTTCAAATGCCGTAAGCGAGGCATCATGTGTATTCCCACTTTGTGTGTCTTTCATGTGGCATTGCTTGAACTTCCCCACTTGATTCTGCCTGTCGGCCTGATGCTGTGATGCTGCGGAGGAACCTGACTGAACATGTCCGGTCTCTGCGAAAGAAGCTACACTCTTCTGCTCGGAACATCCGGCGTTCTCCGACACGCCTAGTAGCATGGCTACCCATTTTAGCCTTCACAGGCTGCTGTGGTCTGGCATGGGCCCTGCACAAGACTCCCATGCTTGTGAAGGTGATGTCTTTCAATGTTCGGTATAAGAATCGTGACGACGATCTTCATGGCTTCGGTTGGGAGCAGCGGCTGCCAGCAGTCGCAGACGTGGTGTTGCGGCACTCTCCTGACATTATCGGAACCCAAGAGGGGCTGCAGCAACAAATCGGGGACATCCAGCAAAGGCTGCGCGAGAACGGGAGCAACTATTCCGCCTGTGGGTGTCCGCGAGAACGTTTCCTGGGTCTGATACCCTGTGGAGAAACTTGTGCGATCCTGGCACACAGTCCGGCAATCCGCTGCCTGCTTCAAGATTCGTTTGCCCTCTCAGAAACCCCATCCCAAATTGGCTCAAAGTCCTGGGAAACCGCCTGCCCCAGGATCGCAACCTATGCTTGGCTCCAAGTCGAGACTCGTGCTCTTTTGCGGACATGCCTCCTGGTTTTGAACACCCACCTGGACCACAGGTCCGAGAGTGCCCGGATCCGAGGAGCACAGTTGATTGTCGACACCATCCAGGGCCTTGAGACGAAGCCACCTGACTGCGAGCATGCTGGAACTATCATCACCGGAGACTTCAACAGCCTCCAAAGAAGTACTGCAGGAACTGCAGAGTCTGCCTTCGCAGTCTTCGAAAAATCTGGATTCAAGGATGCCTGCACTGAGTCTGGTGCTAGGAATGTGCCATTCTTGTCCTTCCACGCTTGGGATGCGCGCAGAGCCGCGGCTATGCGCTGCCCAGCCAGATTGAAGCAGCACGGCGTTTCACATGCACACATTGACTGGATTTTGTGGCGCGGCTCTCGGCTGGACGTGGTCGCGTTTGAAGTTGATACCTTGATCGAAGGCTGCCCACCCTCTGACCACTTTGCGATTCTGGCAACCTTTCGCATCCAACCCATGAAAATTGCGCCCGACAGGCAGCTGCAACAAGAGCACGACCCTTCTCAGTCGTAGTGGTTTGCGGTTGAGACAGTCTGGCAGTCTAGAATTAAGTAGCAGCAGTGCAGTAGCGGCTAGTAACTTTGCAGAAGCAGCAGCTTAGTAGGTGGGTGCTTTTGGAAACTAGTTCGATAGTCAACGGTGGCAGTAGCAGAAGCAGCAGCAGAGTCGAAGCAGGTGTAGTGGCTCTTGTGGTTGCAGTTGTAACACCACCACCGGCACAACCAAGACAACGACTGCTAACAGCTAACATGACTCCAGCTGCTGCTTGAAATTTCTCCTATTGAATTACTATTACTTTACTATGAGTACTGCCACTACCACTACTACTGCGGCGGCTACTGCTACTTACTACAGCAACAATAACAACAACTACTACTACCTTACTACCACCACTACCACCACTACCACCACTACCACCACTACCACTACTACCACTACTACCACTACTACCACTACTACCACTACTACCACTACCACCTCTACTACCACTACCACTGCTTCTTCTACTGCTGCTACTACTACTACTNNACCACCACCACCACTACTACTACTTCTACTACTGCTACTACTACTACTGCTGCTACTACTACTACTACTGCTACTACTACTACTACTACTACTACTACTCTTGCTACTGCTACTGCTACTGCTACTGCTACTGCTACTACTCCTCCTCCTCCTGCTGCTGCTACTGCTAGTGCTACTAGTGCTACTGCTACACAAAGCCTGCGACAACCCAGGGTTACGGAAGTAGTACTTACCAACTGCAGAACCGTGCTCGGATCCCGAAGGGAAAGAGCTGTTGCAGGCGATGGTGCAAGCATTAACACACATCGATCCCAGCCAGGCTGGGTTTGGGTTTGAGCGTGTGTGCTTCACAAATCCTGCAATCGCAACCACTTCGAACGTAAGCAGCTCGATTATTCGTCTAGGTTTTCGGCTCAGCTTAGGTACGATTTAGGAGGTTCCCACATGTTGAACGTCGAGTCAGTGCTTTTGCTTTTAGATGATTGAATATGTGCGGGGTTGTGCACGCCAACCTTGAACACTAAGCCTGCATCCTAAGCCCTAAGGCTGAACCTTTGCTTTCGTGTGTGTGTGTGTGTGTGGTGTGTGTGTGTGCCTTAGGCTGCGTAGCTTTTGGTGTTTCTCGTTTTCCGGCACGCACTTTTCCAGGGGTTCACCAGCTGCGAGTCTGTGTGTCTGTGGTACTGGTGCTTCGAATCTTCGCAGCTGCTGGCATTTTTGCTTGGACACGATGTTTCTGCAGCCTTGCCAGGTTATCTTCTTCGATCATCCCTGCCACAGGACGCATTAGACAGCGAAGTCCAGCCCAAACCGCCAGTGTCATCTGCCGTGATTGCAGCAGCAGAGGAGTGCATGACCCTCCAGGAACTTTGTCCATGGACCATGTTGAGGTCAAAGAAGGGC